CATATTATTTTGGTGAATGACTTTATATAATGACTTAGTTTGGTTAAAAATTCAGGAAAACCTATTTATGGTAAGAAATCAGGGCAAATAAAACCCAACAAATCTCCCCCTTGGCCTGAATTTCTGACAAAATAAATTTGTTCACCTTCTTTACTTAATCTTCAACAACTTGCTTCTCCTCTCCATAATCTCCTTTGCAAAATTTATATCTCAACAAAGAGAACCTCTCTGAAACAATTTCTTCAACAAAATCTTCATTACTGTTAAAAAGGTTGCGGCTAGAACTACACCCGTCAAGATGAACACCTCCTTCTAACCTGGTTAAATCATCGATTATCAAACCATCAAACCTGACTCCATCATTGAATCTGGCTCTGATACCACTTGTTAGGACTGAAAATAAGTAGGTGTAAATGCGGAAGCTAGCAAAGCAAACCTCAAAAGACCACGAGTAAGAAGACAACGAGAAATATACCAAAAGACACAAAGATTTAACGTGGTTCGGTCAATCGACCTACGTCCACAAACGAGATGAGCAATCCACTATAAATATGAGAGTACAAAATACAGAGAGAAACAACCTCAACCAATTCACTCAGAATACATGGGAGGTACACACAAGTGATCAAGTATCAAGTTTGTGACCCATAAATTTTCCCCCTAACCAAAACTCTCAAAGCCCTTAAGACTACATTGTGTAAGACTACATTGTGAATGCTGATTAAGTTAGAAGGAACATACCTCTATTTATAGAGTCCTAAACCTGTTCCTACCAGAAAATTGATTAGTCAATCCAAAACCTTTTCCTAAAAAAAAATCTATTTATGATAAGAAATCAGGGCAAACAAAATTCAACAACATTTTCATGGATTCACAATATGTTTATGACATTCTTTGATGTTCCAACCTTAATTATATGAATATAAGTGCATACAATTGATTATAGTTGGAACAAAAAAAAAAGAGTTTTCTCTTGCTCTCCACATTTTTTTGTCTACTTTGTTTCTTGTTTCATATTGTTATAATTCTTTTAGTTTTTTCTTTTATGAGGTGCACTGGTGAGAATGTTTCATCCTTAATTAGAGGTTTCGGATTTGAACTTTGAGTATGAAAAAAAATTGATTTGGAGCGCCACTCCCGAATGAGCCCTGCAGAGCGTGATCTGAATTTAGTCGTAACTTCAATGTAAACTCCAAACACTGGGTGTAAAAAAGAACTCTTTGGTTTTTATTTTATTAATATGTTATTAGCAAGAAGACTCCAGACACCGGGGGAAAAAAGAACTCTTTTATTTTTATTTTATTAATATTTTATTAGCACGAGGGCACAAATTAGAGAAAAAAAGCCATATTTGAGCATTTTTCTTTCTTTAAAAATGATTTAATTAATGATGTGATCGAATTATAATTGATCACGTATAAAATAATAATTTTACAAAATTGGAACTGTTTAACAAACAATGACATGAATGAACCTTTTTTTCAAACTGACATAACATAGATGAGTCAAACTTCTAACGGATAACATAAATGAGCATTATTTTTTAAAAATTTGATGGCATATTTAGCCTTTTCCAAAAATTTAATCTACTTAATATACAACTAACTTAAGAAAAAGTTTTATTATCTAAGGTCAAAAGAGGTACAATCTTTTTAAAAAGGGGTACAATAAATAAAACTTGTTTTTTCTTTTATGAACTTTTATTTAGTCTAAATTTAATATAATAATATTTATGTTCGAGTCCTCTTGGATCTCAGATGATGTATATATTTTGAATTTAACTTTTATATATGTTTGTATAAATAATTATTTTTCTTATTGGGATATAAATGACTATACATAGATAAATCTTGTTAAAATATAAAATTTGAAATCTTAAAAACTAACATATGTTATTTGTTATGATATATAAATGTAGTTTAATATAATAAAATAGAAAAGTGTAAGTTAATCTCAGCTAGTTTGAAGAAACTAGTCTAATTAACTTGGCTCCCAAGTGGAATAATCGCTTTAAAAGGGATATAATCACAGAGAGAGTGTTTGTTGTGTTTCAATTTGTTTATTTTCTTTTTCGTTTAAGTTTATATCAAAAGGAATATTTTTTTTTAGTTTTAGTTTTTCATATGATATATTTAAAATTATAATATTAAAAATATTTTGATACATTTTACATAAGGGTGTTCGTTGATTCCGTTCTGATCGGTTATTGGTTAAAATCAAAATCAAATCAACCTAGTCAATTTTTTAAATATCTAAAACCAAATAAAACCAAGCGAAAAAAATAACCGTCAATTTGGTTATTGACGGCTAGGTTTGGTTTGATTCAGTTTTTTTTGATTTTTTCAGTTTGAAAGTAATAATTTTTTTAGGACATACATATCTTGATAGACACAAACACCTAGTACTGAAACGCTATTGTCGATTCAATTAAGCAATTAAATAACGGAAAAGGGCTTAAAATACCCTTAAAAGTATCAGAAATGGTACAAAACTACCCTTCATCCACCTATTCACTCCAAAATGCATTTCTCATCCACCTATTGGCTCCAAAATACCCTTGTCATCCACCTTTGGGTTCAAAATTGACCACTTATTTAATGGTTTTATATTTAAACTATTTAAATATTTTTTAATACATGACTCTCAACTATTTGTTATAATTTAATTTATCAACATAATTTATAAATCATCTACCACCCATCCATTACTAATTAAACCACATTGAATTAACAAATCCGCCTCAATATTAATGCAACAACGGAAAAGCTATTGCCACTGAGTGTTGTTAAAAATTTGAGGCGAAATGTCTATAAAAGTACATTATCATACATTCAAGTCCTCAATCAAAACATATTATAATTCAAGTGTCTAAAACAAAATTACCGATAAACTTAAAAGTCTGACTGTGTTCATCTTAATTATTCATTCATCTCAATTATGTAATGTTACTTAATAGATAACTTTTTTTAAAAAAGAATATATTAAAGTTTTAATATTTAAAACAAGGGGGAAAAAGTCTGATATACCCCTCAACTTTGTCATTTAGAGCTGATATACCCCTCGTTATAAAAGTGACTCATACATACCCCTACTTGTAGACAAATGGCTCACATATACCTTTTTCCTCTAACGGAAATGAAAAAAATAATAATTTTAATCTAAATTTTTATTATTTTTTTCTAAAAAATATAATCCCATATGAGTAATTTAATCCACGTCAAACATATTTTTTTGACTTTTTTTTATTTCAATGACTAATTTATAATTATTATTTTGATAATCAAATTTATTTAAGTTTCACTAATATTCTTGTAAAACTTATTGTAGATGACCAAATTTTTTCTTCGAATACGAAATTAAATTACAATACACAGAAAAAAATAGTTTAAATTTTTTTCTTTAAACTAAGGAATGAAAAAAAAATAAGAATAAGAAACTCAAATAATTATAATAAAAGAAGTCAAAAAATAATTTATGTATGAAAAAAATTAAAATATACCTTGAACTTTGATAGAAAAAACATATATACGCCTAAATAATTTTTTTAAAAAAATTAGAAGTAACAAATATAAATTTAAAACTAATTTTTTAACTTCCGTTAAATGAAGGGCATATGTGAGCCATTTTGTAACGGTAGGGGTATATGTGAGCCGTTTGTATAACGGTAAGGACATATATGAGCCACTTTTATAAGAAGGGATATATCAGCTCCAAATGACAAAGTTGAGGAGTATATCAGACCCTTTTCCCTTATTTATATATTGGTCAATAAAAAAAGGGAAAATTTCGTATATAACAAACATAATTTATTAAATAACATGATATGGGTGTAGTTTACATAATTACATTCCATGAGTATAGTTTAATTTGTTATGTATTTTTTAATTTGTATTAAAAAAAATTTTATTTTTAATTTATTTAATATTTTACTTTTTCATTGAATGATAACAATATCACTAAATAAGGTAACAAACATTTACACAATCCCATTATTTAAGCTAACCATTCAAAATCAAATATTTTCTCAATTTTGTTTTAAAATAAATCGTATGAAACACTTAGACGTTAATGATTTTATTTGTATATATATACATTGATTATATTGTATATATTTGAGAAATTGTAAATAATTTTTTATACAATTTCGTGTGTAATTTATTTATGTATTATTAGATGTACATGTGATCATCATAATATGAAAATTGTATATATGACCATCATGTTGTTTTTTTTTATAAAAAAAAGTGTGTTGTATTTGTTCTTAATTATTTTCTGTAGTCGGTTTGTATACAAAATTTTATTATGTTCATTTTTTATAGTATATATCTACGGATTTGTATAATATACAATAATTTGGTATATGGATTATATTTGTATATGTGCATATGTAATTTCATGTTTTTTAAAAAAATTAGTGGTTAAAATGATTGTATAATATTCATTTGTCAATTATATATATGGTAAGCTTGAAATTGTGTATTTATTGTGTAATGTTTATATAAATAATATTTCATGTTCATAATTTCTTGTATATATCGACGAATTTGTATAATATACAATAATTTTATATATGTATAATACAATGATTAACAAATTTCTTTTATACAAAACTAAATATTTGTATACAAATAACAATTATCTCGTAATACTTTGTATATATTACCTTAATACACAACTCACTATATACATAACTTTAGTACTTTGTATATATTACCTTAATACACAACCTGATGTTTTTCAGATTTGTCTAGTTCTGTCCAGTTTTGATGAGATAGATTCAATCTCGTCTGAATTTATGTTTCTGACTTTTCTCTTGCTTCAACTTTCAACAATCTTAATGCCGCTAGATTTCGCGTTGATGATGACTTTCTGAATTGTCATTGGATCATTTTTTTTCTTGAATCTCTATTCAAGATATTGTTCAACTTGAACTTGTTTATATTTTGTCATATACCGTATATTAACCCCAAAATCCTGAGATAACCCAATTGAAAATGAAGGTGGATTATCAACAATATTGACATGCAATGACATACCTATGGTAATCCTCATAAATGGAGATGAATCCATTATTCTCATTTTAAAGAACTTTAAACTGATAAGAAAGAAAGATTTTTTTTAAAAAAAAAAACTATGAACAAAACTAAGAAACATAATACATATATAATTATGTTGATGAAGGAAAAAAATTTAAAAAATTTAAAAAATTGGATTAATGAGAGTAAGACAACAGGGATATCGTGAAATTTTCCAAAATTCAAAATTCAAAATAGGAGTGGATGAGTGATTTTAGGAGAAAGATATGGAATGAGTATATGAGAGATAAAATTGATTTCATAAAATTATATATAAAAAGATAAAAAAATCTTTTATGGTTGGGTAGACAAAGAGGTGGTGGGTCTCATTAATTATAGCAAAAAAATAAAATTATAGTTATTGAGAGTAAATAAATTAAATTATACCCTTATTGGCTAATTACTGAGAGATGTTTGTCATTCCACGTAATTTTTCCATAAAAAAATGTCATGTGTATGATATAAACATTAATTTTTTTATTTTTACTATTTCACGAGCTTTTAGAAGAGTGAGTTCACTCACTTTACCACGTCAGCTCTTAGGGTGACATTTAATCACTTCGAAATTATTAAGGGGGTATTTAAACGCCCTGTATAGTCAAAGTACTAACGTAAGTTTTGACGCCAAGTTTAGAGAAGATTTAATGTATTTTTCTCTATTTAAAACCATTACTAATTTACTTCATCATACCAGGTATATATATATATATATATATATATATATATATA